TAGTCTAGTGTATTATTTGTTAATATACTCTAAAATTCTAGTGTTTTCACCTCAAACATTTTTTGAGAGAGGAGGTAGCTTGAGTGGGGTGGGGGGGGGGAGTTGAGTCCATTCTTTGAGGGACATAACCAGCTTCGTATTTCTTTAAATATTAATTTGTGTGTGTGTATACCATCATAAATTGACATGTTTTTACTGCAAAATAGAGGAAAAGGGAGTTGAGTCGGTCCAGTCTCTTTTTCAATTAATCCTATGTTATGTTATTTCATTTACGCGTGCCATTTGAGACCTGTGGGAATTGATCAAGGAATCGGTGGATGTATGTATGTATATGTATATATATATATATATATATATATATATATATATATATATATATATATATATATATATATATATGCCCACCTAACAACACATATATCTGGTTCCCCAAACTATAAAAATCATGACGCCTGCTGACCACTACCTACCTAATTTCTGATCGAGAGACGATGATCCTTCCCATACTGGTCAGATATTATGTTAAAGGAATATGTTTTATCTTAGGCTATTTTTTAAACATTTGCTTCAGGTGTAATGTTAACCCACATCTATTGAGGATAAAATTTTCACCACAAATTGACATTAAACACATTAGCTGTAATCAGCCATATCTAGTTGCTCTCAACAATTGCAATTGGGGTTGCAATTTCAAATTCTGTAGCATTACTAAGTATAGTGAAGTCTCTGGTGCACTCTAAGATTAAGAGAGAAACGGAGGACTCAGGCGCCCTGATGTGAGAGAAACGTTCTGTGATGACGGTACCAAATAAAAAGAAGTTGTTTTGTGACTACAGTATTAAGCGCACTTTTCATCACTTTTGTAATAAACCCAGCTATGCCTATGTGTGTTATGATATTTACCATAACATTATATATATATTTAGTGGTATAAATGGTTCTAAAGTGGAAACTTGGTTGGGTTCTTAAAACCAATAGAATAAACTTATAGGTTCTGTAATTTCATTATCTAAGTCCCAATTGGACGCTTTATACAAGGATGACTGTAATGTACTGTATATACTTGTGACACTGGCCAGTTGGTTTGGTGTGGTATGGTAGAGGGGCGTGACAGCAAAAACAGGAATAAACAATTGAAATTTAAATTGAAAAAACATCAATAATGGGACCTAGTGCGGCAATAGTAACAAGTATAAAGCGATTTATAGATTGTGTGGCATGACGTATTTCAGTGAATTTAGTCAATATTGTACAGTAACAATGACCTATGCAAACCTGTTTTGCGTATGTTTTTAATGATTACGTGTAATTAAAATTGTTATAGTCTATTGAAATATAGCTTTGTTTATAAAGTGGTATTCAAATAATTACTATCTTACAAGAATCCTCCAATGTGTGTTATATTCACCAAGTCTTGGTGGTGGCAAATTTATAGAAGAGCTTAGTCACTCATGAAATGATAAATAAACACACAGGCAGGCCTTCAGCGCCTAAACTGTCATATCTTTATCTCAAAAAAATAAACAAACGCCAGACATTCTGTCACCCCCTGCCTCTTCCCCGTCTCTCCTTGTGTTCCCAGACAAAAGATTGGTGATTTCTTTATGTTTATTTTATATAATATCTCAGACTAAAGTTAGGATAATATAATTTGCATTGCTGAAATCCTTGCAAGACAGAGATTAATTTAAATATAAGCGTCATATATTTTGCTCAAGATATAAAAAATGTAGTACATTAGTGTACAATACTGTAGTACATTTTATAAAAAGTTTTTCAACTGTATTTTTGGGTAGATTTACATAAATTTCTTCATTTATTTTCATCCATTTACATGCACACACCATACTAAAAGAAACGTAAAAGAAATAAATGACCTTAGTGCAAAGCTGGAGTGCACATGTACTAATTTGATTACGGTACTAAAATTGTTATGTCTAGTGCGAATTATATGTTTATAGTCATATAAATCAGTATCTTACAAGAATTCCAGCAATGTTAATTATATTCTCCTAGGTCATATCACTGGCATTTTAAAATGAGAGATGCTTAGTAGGACTGTTAAATAACACACAGGGACCTTCGGCTCAAACTTATCACCTGAACCCCCCCCCCCCACACCCTTCACTGGCTCCGTCCCTCCCTCCCTAATCTGCTCAGCCGGGGGTTTATTTAGGCTTACAGTTTTTATCTTATATAATATCTCAGACTAAAGTTAGGAGATTATAATTTGCATTGCTGGAATCCTTGCAAGACAGCCAATAATTTGAATATAAACGTCATATATTTTACTCAAGAGATAAAAATTGTTGTACATTAGTGTACAGCACTGTAGTACATTTATAATATAAATTTATTCAACTGCATTTTTGGGTAGATTTACATCAATTTCTTCATTTATTTTCATCCATTTACATGCACACACCATACTAAAAGAAACGTAAAAGAAATAAATGACCTTAGTGCAAAGCTGGAGTGCACATGTACTAAATTGATTACGGTACTAAAATTGTTATGTCTAGTGCGAATTATAGCATGTTTATATTCAAATTAATCAGTATCTTACAAGAATCCCAACAATGTTAAATGTATTCACCCAGGTCATGTCACTGGCTTTTTATAAGAGAGAAGCGCGTTAGACCTTGGGCTGGTGCCAACTGTCAAACGTACTACCTCCCCTCCCCCCACGCCCTCTCGCTCGCTCCTTCCCTCCCTCCCTCTCCCCCATCTGCCCAGCATTGCTGGAATCCTTGTAAAACGTCATGTATTTTGCACAAGAGATAAAAATTAATCACCTGTATCACATTAGAGTAGTGATTTAAGAGTAAAAGTGTATATGTACGTATATACTGTAGTAGTCCACATACACGTAAGTATAAATAAAAAGTACATGTGATGATCGGACAACGTCCATTTCGGTTAATGTCACGTTTCCAAGAACGTATCTAGGACGTTAACCGGCGCATGACTGTATATGGTAAATGGAAAGAGTAGGACACAAAATTGCATACGTTGTCACAGTTTGATTGCTCGTTTTAAAATGATGACCGCGTGGTCGCTTGTTGTCACTGTGCAGCTGTGGCGCTCACGCATGCACGTGCACACACAAAAACCCGCTAAATTTAAAAAGTTTGAGTTTTCGAAAAGTCCGGATTCTCAGGTGGTCCGGATTTTTGGACTTCTACTTTATTCAAATGTTAATACAACCAGTCTAGTGTCAACTTTGCTTCAATAGCCTTCCTCCCATGTAATGGCTAGAGAGATAAATAAGTAACCCTGGCAAGAATCTGCTACTGCCCAATATGTGTACAATGGCAGGAAAAACTAATCATCCTAACAACAAAATTATGCTGCAGGCAATGTACAGTATCTACCTTGTTAAATCAGAATTCAGTTGCTTCAATGACCAGTAAGGAACCAGATCTTGGAATCCTTAAAACTGAGGTTTATTTGTTATGAAATTCAACCAAATAGGCATTCCCTGCCCATATAGGGCTTAACTTTAAGTGGGGAAGAATGAGATCTTGGATATTTGTTCAAAATGGGTTTTCAAACTTTAATCAGTTTTTGCATTCACAGATTGAATGATCTTTATCAATTGCCACATGGAAGATACATTTGAATCTTTCATTAGCAGACCCTTCTCATTAATAGATAAATTCTCAATCTGATTTTGTTGTCCACTAATGGGAATCATCAAGGGTAAAGATTGATAAGAGTGAGATCTTTGTTGTCCACTAATGGGAATCATCAAGGGTAAAGATTGATAAGAGCGAGATCTTTTGTTGTCCACTAATGGGAATCATCAAGGGTAAAGATTGATAAGAGCGAGATCTTTTGTTGTCCACTAATGGTAATCATCAAGGGTAAAGATTGATAAGAGCGAGATCTTATGTTGTCCACTAATGGGAATCATCAAGGGTAAAGATTGATAAGAGCGAGATCTTTTGTTGTCCACTAATGGGAATCATCAAGGGTAAAGATTGATAAGAGCGAGATCTTTTGTTGTCCACTAATGGGAATCATCAAGGGTAAAGATTGATAAGAGCGAGATCTTTTGTTGTCCACTAATGGGAATCATCAAGGGTAAAGATTGATAAGAGCGAGATCTTTTGTTGTCCACTAATGGGAATCATCAAGGGTAAAGATTGATAAGAGCGAGATCTTTTGTTGTCCACTAATGGGAATCATCAAGGGTAAAGATTGATAAGAGCGAGATCTTTTGTTGTCCACTAATGGGAATCATCAAGGGTAAAGATTGATAAGAGCGAGATCTTTTGTTGTCCACTAATGGGAATCATCAAGGGTAAAGATTGATAAGAGCGAGATCTTATGTTGTCCACTAATGGGAATCATCAAAGGTAAAGTCTGTTAAGAGTGAGATCTTATGTTGTCCACTAATGGGAATCACAGAGGTAAAGTCTGCTAAGAGTGAGATCTTTTCCATTATAAATTTTTCCATGAGGTCCAGCTTGTATGACATCTGTTATTGTCGATAGGAACCATTACAAATAAAATCCAGAACACATCCAGCACACTTCTGAGCATGTCTGGTTACAATTGTCATCCTTTTTGGCTTATTTGAAAAAGAAGCCCTAATACAACACTTCAATATCTGATTTTATAAGCATTAGTTATTCTTAAGTTAATTGCTTTTAAATCATTTATCTCTCTTGACCCTTGCTCAGCCATAATGACCTTTGATGATGTTGGTTATGAAAAAAAAAAATCTGAACTTTAATCATTTCTAAAGAAACAATTAAACTAATAGAAAATTATACTTTTTTTTTGTCTTACCTGATCTTGATTGTCTTTATGCCTGTACACAAGGCTTGCAATTAGCCTAATGAGATCACATTTGAAGCCAAAAGCAGGATGAGTTTCAGCAGTAGCCATTTGTTCTTCATCAGTGAGATCAGATAATTGGTTCAGGGGTGTGAAGGCATTCCCACCCATCTTTCCGATGTCAGTCATGCACCGCAATAAATCTACAAAATATTGAACATAAATTTTTTGAATAAGACAAATGGGTGGTAATTGTTGCAGTTGTTCAAGACTTTTCATGGGTTCTATATACAAGACTAGTTTTATGATATGATTTTTATTGATATCTGCTATATTCTTATTGTCTACTTAAAACAATATGGTTTTACACATAAATCATTAAGTATAAGCACTGAGAATAACATTTATGAGTGATCTAAGCAAAATAACAAATGTCATCAATAATTCAGTAACTTAAATCCATGTGGACAGATGTGGCTACAGGTTGTATCTCTCTAGTCCGGCAACCTCGGGACCTGACCGGTGCCGGACCATGGAAATTCACCCTTTTCCTGGATAGATAGTGACTTGTGCTTATGCTTGGAAGCACTAGCACCACTTTCTCTGCATCATGGTCTCTTTGAAGACATATTGAAGGGTTAAATGTCGTATAGTAGCTTCTCAAATTTCGCGAGTTTTTAATTCTTAACGTATTTTATTGGAACACACAAAAAATAAATAAATAAAAATTTTGACGGCGGAAACTTGAATTTCGATGGGTTTGAACGGCCCGCCAACGTGCAGACGATGTGCATAATCGTGTAAACAGTGTCATTTCTCTTATGTACAAAAGATTCATTATTGTTTATTACTGAATGTTTTTTTTATTGAATTAATGTTTGTGTGTGCAAAATGAGCAATAAAATTCATTAATAATACGTAGAATATTAAAACACACGAGGAAATGACACAGCATTGTTTTCGTTGATTACAAAGCCAGTGACTGACTGGTTCTACATATAAAACAGAAGAAAATAAGACCTTGGTTGTAGCTGTAGTAAAATTAATATGGTTGTTTTAAGTAATGTTATTTAATGTTAATAAATGGAACAATAGAAGTAGCTAACGATAATGGTAAAGAAAAAAGAGAGATCGCGTATGTAAGTGCGCATGCGCACACGTGAAAACATATCGTCATTACTTTACATAAGAATATGAAAGCAGCACTTATTTACTGTTCATATATATTTTAATTAATGTTTCTGAATTTGTTTTTATTGAATTAATGTTTGTGTGTGCAAAATTAACAATACAATTTATTAATAATACGTGGAATATTAGAGGAGACGAGACGGCTGCCGGCATTGTTTATGTTAAAGCTTACGAAACCAGTGACTGATTGGTTCGACATATAAAACTGAAGAAAATAAGACCCTGATTTTAGCTGTAGTAAAATTCATGTAAAAAAATAATATGGTTGTTTGAAGTACCTGTAATGTTATTTAATGTTAATAAATGTAACAATATACTGTAAGTAGCTAACCATTAATGGTAAAAAAAAAGTGAGACTGCGCGTATGTAAGTGAGCACATGTGAAAACATATCGTCATTACTCTACATAAGAATATGAAAGCAACACTTATTTACTGCTCATATATATTGAAGGGTTAAATGTTGTACTCTGTATAGACAAGCAGAGAGAGAGAGAGAGAACAACCGAACTGCCGGTTGTAAACAAACCTTAATTTCCCGCGGCTTTTTTCTTTTTTTAAGGGGATTAGCCCACCCGGGCATAGGTCACTGACCCACATTGGGGCCTGAGGGGCAAAAATTTAATACTCCTGTAATAATAATTCAGATAAGTAAAAAAAAAAAAAAAAAAAGTTGCCTATCTACCTATTGGACAAACTAAAATCGTTCCGGACCACGGGAGTTTCCGGACCACAGAATGCCGGACTAGAGAGGTACAACCTGTATTATAATAACAAGGGTTCCTGGCAGACCATACTTGTCTACAATGTCTGGTGCTGTAAAAACACTATGATCACTTATCCATTCATAATTTCGACTTTAATACTCCTGTACTTGTTATGATGGTAAGAAAGCAAAAGGTATAAAATTTGCTTAAAATAGAAGGGCATATAGAGATTCATAGGATTTATGTGAACATTTCCCAACAGCTACTAACATTATATCCTATACGTGACAACATAAATGGAGCTGAGCACTCAGAGGCTGGCTGATGTAAGCTTAACCAAATTGTCTCTCCCAGTTGGTCCCTAATGACTTGCTGATGACCTTTCATCCCTGATGCTATGTATAAACATTGAGATGACACTGTACTTACACAAACTTGTGATGATAAGGCTGGAGTCTTGTTGAAGCAAGTATCTCCAAGCATCAGATGCTGCAGCTGTGCACACAAAATTTGCAAGTCTCACTAACACCTAAAAATGTAAAAGAATTAGGTTTCATTAATTTACAAAATACACTCAGTCTTCCTTTAAACTTCTTGACTGTTGTATCTTTTATAAAAAAAAAATGGTTGTGATACACCAAGAGCTGCAATACACTTGTAACTATTTTCATCAGTCCAATAACTTTGTCTTGGATAAAACTACCATGAAGTATCAACTAAATACCTGAGAACCATCTTGTTGAAGCTGACCTGCATGGGTGCATAAAATCTTGTCTGCCTCACTCTGGAAAAAAGATTTTACTACAGAACATACATCATGCAATTTAGTTTATTTGTTGCTCTAATGATTTTAAAAATCATTATACAACAGTGAATTGGGGTAATAAAAATGACTAATTCAGAGTTGCAGCCACGAAAGAACTGTATGGAATATACAGGCACTCCCGACTTACAACAGGAATACGTTCCTGGACCCTGATCATAAGTTGATCTGTTCATGACTTGGAATATTATAAATTCACAATAAAATACGTACTGATGCACAAGTGTGTGCATGTGTGGTAGTGAATTAAAGATCAGCTGTAGAGGAGTGCTTGGCAACACTCATCTCTCTCATTACCCCCACCTTTCTCCTTTCTCTCTCCATATTTTAAAATGTTATGTAATGGTAATGTAATACAATGATATCCCCGTAAGCCAGAACAATTGGTGCAGAGCACTTCCGGGGATGAGAGATTTCCGGCTAATCAGACGAATTTCTCAAACCTGGAAAAATTCCTTATCCCCGGAATATTTTCCGGTTACTGGGAAAAGTTTCAGTTTCTAAACTAGACATCCTGCACACACAGACATTAGCCCACTTCCCCAAAATGTTTCTGGGTGCTGGGGATATTTTCCTTGAGCTTAAACTACTGGAGTCCATTAATGAAGTTCTAATTAAGTTAGAAACTCCATTTCTTTACTATAATAATCCAGAATAGTTTATCTAAAAGTTTGGTAAAATAAATATATTTGAAAATTAAAAATCTGTATGATATAGGCATGAATGAAATTGTGTGTTACAGCAAAGACTGGTATTTTCCACTCCCATGGAGCTGTGGGGGATTAGCGGGTCTCGTGTACCTGAAGTGAGGCAATGTCAGGTGGAGGTAGGGTGGGGGATTAGTGGTCTCATATTACAGACATTCCGATGGAATATCAGATCACCCTTTCTTGGGTGGGGAATTAGTGGGTCTCACGACCTGAAGATGTCTTGAAAAAACTCGAAACCTAAAGTATTTTTAGGGAGTTTGTGATAAGTAGAAGTATAAATGAGCAAAGTTGTATCCATTCAACATTACATAACATTTTAAAATATGGAGTGATTAAGTAGAAAGGTGTGGGAAATTAGAGAGATGGAGTGGAAATGAGTGTTGCCAAGCACTCCTCAACAGCTGATATTTAACTCGTCACACATGCAAATTTGTCACACAATAAGACCCTCACTCCTTATGTCTGCTGTCTTAATTCCCTTGTTTGGGGTATGTGAGTGGTGTTGGAGTGCGTGTGGGGAGGGTGTGTGTGTGTGGCTGGTTGTTGGAGTGTGTGTGATGGTGTGTAATGTTTGGCTGAAGAGTGTGGGAGTCAACCTTTTTGGGGGCTGAGGTGGGCAGTCAGTTCCCCCCCCTCACTCAAGCTTGGCTAATTGTGATGGGGAGATGAATTTTATACCATAATGATCCTTAATAAATTCTCTACGAAATGTTTCCAATAAGATATCCTTAAACGAAATATTTCTATATGATATACAGTGGTCCCTCGGTTAACGAGCACAATTCATTTCAGAAGGTTGCTCGTTAATCAAAAAACTAGTTAACCGAAACCATTGTTTCAATGGGTTTTTGGGTAATTGGTTCCAACTCACCGAAAATTGCCTAAAACCAACAAAAAAGGTAGTAAAGTACACTTACTTTGAGGTGTGTATGTAGAAGGCTCCTGGATGATGATGGGAATTAGAATGGGGGTGGAGGAGAAGGGAGAGGAGAAGGCATTGGGGTGAAAGAGAAGGCATTGGGGTGGAAGAGAAGTCACCCCATGGTGCCATTTCACCCATAAAATTTTAGTTCTCTTGGTGTAATTCAAGATTATTTTCTTTAAATCAACACTGCACTGCATTATATAGTGTCAATATGTAAAATAAATTTCAAATTGACCAATAATTTGCTTGGAAACACACAAAAATAGTGTTTAGTTGAAGAGAGTCACAAGCAAGATGTTACCTCCACTGAAAAGACACAGAGACTGACGCCTGTATGGTGTGTTGACAGGCAGTTTGGCGCGCAAAACACTAGCTTCCTATACTTCAATTGTTAAAATGACTAAAAAATTTAATATGAAACTTTTAAAATTATTGAATAGTACAAACTTCTTGATATTTACTAAAATAGTAAAGAATTTAAGCCCTAGAACCGATTTCTGTATTGGCGGACTAATACTACAGCTGGTGGACAGCCAATGCAAGCGAAAACATGTGGAGGTTAAAAACTGTTAATCGAGGGATTACTCGTTAACCGAAGTTAAGAATCTTATGGAAGGTAATTCGTTAACCGAAATCTCGTCAACCGTTAACCGAGGGATCACTGTAGTGATGGGAATTCCATTCTTTTATAAAAAAATGTAAAAAATGTTGATACCGGAGTCAGTAAAATCAGTTCTACTTTCATTAGACACCCTTTTTTTTATCAAAATAATCCTGAATACTTTATCTTAAGTTTGGTTAAATAAATATATTTAAAAAACAAAAGCTCTATATGATACAGGTGTGAAAAGGGCTGTTACTTTTACCCTCTTCACCACTGATCAGCTCGTTAATCGCTTGGGCGATTGGTCACATCTCTGTTACACACTTCACTCAACTGACTGTAATACATAACTAATCATGTCTAACACTTGTGATGAAGGTTGGGTGGGAGATTATTGGGTCACGTTACTAACCTGACCTGTCACCCAGTGTTGGGTGGGGGATTAGTTGGTCTTATGACCTTAATATGTCTTGAATGACATTATTTTTTTACCTATGAGGTACAGTAAAAGCCTCGATTAACCGACTTTCGGATTAACCGTCAATCCCGAACCCCTGAAAAAAAAAAATGCGGGGATTAGCCCACCCGGGCACAGGTCACTGACCCACATCGGGGCCTGGGGGGCGATAATGTAATAATATTAATAATGATAATGCTAATAATAATAGTAATAAAGAACCATAAAGAAATGCAAAAATGAAAAAAAAATCAAGAGTGAGAAACAATGTACCTGTATGTATGTTGTGTTGTCAATAGTAAGAGAAACAATTGAGACCCTGCAATTGTGTGTAAATGAGGCAGAAAGTCAGATGAGCAACCTGGGACTTGGTCACAATTTTTGTGATGACATATGTTCTTTGACTTTTCCATTTTTTATTCACGGTTTCTGTGCTGGTTCATATTTATTTACTAAAGTGGTTAATGTTTTAAAGCAAATTCTATTGAAATATGAATGGCAAATGAACAAAAATGAATAGAGGGACTTAAATGAGGTAGGTTAGAGAAAGGTACTTTGAAAATGTATGTTTTATTTCCGTAGACTTCATGTACTATTAACCGTCCTTTTGGATTCTCCGTCGGCCTCTTCCCCCCCCATATGTGGTCGGTTAATCGAGGTTTTACTATATATATATATATATATATATATATATATATATATATATATATATATATATATATATATATATATATATATATATATATATATATATATATATATATATATATACACATACATATACATACATATACAGTTGTACCCCGCTTTACGCGGTTTCACTTAACGCGATTTCTCATAAACGCGGTGCCTCGCCAGAACCTAACTTTCACTTAACGCGGTTCATCTACCCATATACGCGCAGAGTGTCCGGCTCGACGCTATTTTTAGATTCGCCCCACCCGCCTGCTCCCTCCTCCGCCTCGGCAAGCCGCACGGTAAGGTTGCGCAGTGCATGTCTCTGTTGCGTTATCACTGACGTCATATGACATATCAGACTGTGATTGGCCATGCATCCCTACCCCCCTCTGCTGCTAGCTGTAATTGGTTTAAAGTAATATGACGTGTCCACCCGGGGAGGGAGGGAGGGAGGGAGGGAGGAAAGATGACGCTTGACCTAGCCGCGGCAGCTTCATCCTTCCAGGCCACACCGTGTATACGTGCATCCACTGTTCTGTGAAATGGCTTCCGCCGGACCACCACCGCCACCAGAGAGAAACCTTTCCTAACCTGGACCCAGCCGCCCTAAGCCAAAGAAGACACGACGGTCCTTAAGCTACGAAGTGAAATACCAGATCGTTCAAGATTTGGAGAAAGGAACACGACAAGCTGATCTCGCGCGCCACCATGGAGTGAACGAATCTACGATTCGTACTATTAAGAAGGATGCAGCCAAGATCAAAGAGCACATGACAATCACAAAGTCTGCAGGTGCTTCAATGATGAAGTATTCCCAGAACAAGGTGCTGCTAAAGGTGGAAAATATGCTGGTGAGTTACTTGATTCGTCAGGCGCGACGCAACATGGAGGTGGACACGCGATCCGTTCAAGAGTACGCACGTGAACTGTACGCAGCAGTGTCACGTAAGATGGGAATTGCAGAGCCCAAACCCTTCAATGCTTCCTCTGGTTGGCTGCATAGGTTTAAGAAGAGGAACAAAATCACCAACATCAACATTGGTGGTGAGGAAGCGAGTGCTGACCGTGTGGCGGCTAGAGATTTTCCTCCGTTCTTACGTGAGGTTATGGAGGAAGGGCAGTTCACTGACGACCAGGTGTTCAACATGGACGAATCCGGCCTTTTTTGGAAAAAGCTGCCTACCAAGACCTTCGTTGTCCAGTCTGCCAGCAAGGTTCGGGGTCGGAAGTTGCAGAAGGAGCGCATCACCGTCCTCTTTACCACCAATGCCTCCGGTACCTGTAAACCAAAGTTATCGGTGATTCACACAGCCCGCAAGCCGCACGCCTACAAGAATATGGACACGAACAAGCTTAATGTCCACTGGCTAACCGCACATAAGGCGTGGATGTTCTCTGCTCTGTCCCTCTCCTGGTTTGACGACTGTTTCGTTCCAGACGTCAAGAAATTCTGCGAGCAACAGAATGTTCCATTCAACATTTTGTTTCTCCTTGACAACGCACCAGGACACTCGCCCCTACTTATGGATCGTCACCCCAACGTAAAAGTGGTCTTCCTTCCTCCCAACACTACGTCATTAATCCAGC